TGGTCATCCTCTCCTCTGCCTCAGGCCCAGCGGTTGCCCTCTTCACCCGACTGGCGGGGCGCTGCCCCCGACGTCCGCCCGGAGCCCCCCGCAGCAGCGCCCCCTGCGGCCCCCCCATCCTCCTCATCCTCCGCACTCAGCCCTGCACCCCCAAACTTCGGGGAGGGCTCCAGGGGGGCGGCAGCACCTTCAGCCCCACCCCTGGCAACGACATCGGCCACCACGTCGGAGGGGCCTGAGCCCAAGGAAGGGCCGGTGGTCAAGAAGGTGAAGGTCCGCCCCCCTCCGCTGAAGAAGACCTTTGACTCGGTGGACAAGTGAGTGACCGTGGAGATGGATGGGGGGGGGTCCTGGGAGGGGGGTCTGGAGGAGGGGAGAGGCAGCGCTCCTGAGACCCCGCTCGCCCCCTCTGCCCCCCAGCAGGGTCCTCTCGGAGGTGGACTTTGAGGAGCGTTTTGCGGAGCTGCCCGAGTTCAAGCCGGAAGAGGTGCTGCCCTCCCCGACCCTGCAGTCTCTGGCCACCTCCCCCCGCGCCATCCTGGGCAGTTACCGCAAGAAGCGCAAGAACTCCACAGGTGAGTAGTGGGGGGGGGGAGGGGGGGACACGGCTGTCAACAGCGGAAGAGACTTAAAATGAATCCAGACTGGATTACTGCAATGCGCTCTACGTGGGGCTGCCCTTGAAAACGGCTCGGAAACTGGGGCCCACTACAGAGAGAGGTCAATCCTCCTGTTTAAGGAGCTCCACTGGCTGCCGTTTATTTTCCGAGCCCAATTTAAGGTGCAGGTGCTTACCTACAAAGCCCTGAACGGTTTGGGACCACCCTACCTGCGTGACCGTATCGCTGTCTACGAACCCACACGTTCACTCCGGTCATCTGGAGAGACCCTGCTCGTGATCCCGCCCGCATCGCAAGCGCGCTTGGTGGGGACACGAGACAGGGCCTTCTCTGTGGTGGCCCCCCGCCTCTGGAATGCCCTCCCGAAAGACCTCAGACAAGCCCCTACATTGGCAGTCTTCAGAAAGAATGTGAAGACCTGGCTGTTCCAATGTGCCTTCTCAGACTAGGAATCCCCAGTACCAAATCCCAGAAGCACCTTAATCAGAACCAAGATCATTGCACACTGCACACCGCACTTATACTATAATCCCATATCCCTCCGACACATCAGCACTTTTAATCCTGTACCCCTACTCTGGCCGGCTCAGTTTTAATAATGTCTTGTTGTACTGCTATTGTTATTGTTTTGCTTAACTGTTTTATTTGCTAGGTACTGTATTGTTGTATTGTGTGGGCTTCGGGCTTGGGAGATGCTAGCGGGGTACAAATAAAGTTATAATAATAATAATAATAATAATAATAATAATAATAATAATAAGCCAAAGAATAAAACATACATGCACATAAATACACAGATACACAAATATATACACACATATACACAAACATACACACACACACACAAAACGCATATACATAGACTGGGCCACAGCAACGTGCAGGGGATAGCTAGTACAGATATATAAATGTAATATGTTCGTTTGTGGGATGAACAGAACTCAAAAACCACTGAACGAATGGACACCAAATTTGGACACAAGACACCTCTCAGGCCAAAGACTGGCCATTACTCAGAAAAACACTGAAAAACAGCAGAAGAGACTTAAAAAGCCAAAAAACAAAAACTACAATACATGCACAAAACCACACACACACATACATATATGCAAACACACATATACAAATACATACACACCTATACACACGCAAAACACATAGACGCAGACTGGGCCACAACAGGGGACAGCTAGTAATATATAATAGCAAAATATATAAAAATGATAAAATATAATAAATAAAAATTAAATAAATACATGAAAAATGAAATGAAAAATATATAATACAATATATGGAAACAATATAAATAGAATTTTGACAATGCAGTAAAAATAACTAAAATCTATAATAAAATATAAATAAATAAAAATAATATATAATACAATATATGGAAACAATATAAATAGAATTTTGACAATGCAGTAAAAATAACTAAAATCTATAATAAAATATAAATAAATAAAAATAATATATAATACAATATATGGAAACAATATAAATATAATTTTGACAACGCAGTAAAAATAACTAAAATCTATAATAAAATATAAATAAATAAATAAATAAATAAAAATAATATATAATACAATATATGGAAACAATATAAATATAATTTTGACAACGCAGTAAAAATAATTAAAATCTACAATAAAATCTATAATAAAATATAAATAAATAAAAATAATATATAATACAATATATGGAAACAATATAAATATAATTTTGACAACGCAGTAAAAATAATTAAAATCTACAATAAAATAAAAATAAATAAATTAAAATTAAAATATATAGTAATACAATATATGGAAACAATATAAAAATAATTTCAACCACGCAATAAAGGTGGAGGTGGAGGAGACCCCAAATAGTGACCCAGGCACTCCTGGCCGAGGGATGCCCTGACCTCCCACGCGAGGCCGGCCTTTCGCCGGTCTCCTGGGTGGCTGGACCTGACCCTCTCCGCTTTGGCCGCCTCCTTTCCAGACCTGGACTCCTCCACCGAAGACCCCATTTCCCCCAAGAGGAAGATGCGGCGGCGCTCCAGCTGCAGCTCGGAGCCCAACACGCCCAAGAGCGCCAAGTGCGAGGGAGACATCTTCACCTTCGACAAGACAGGTAACGGTGGGGCGGGGAATGACTCCGGCCGCCTGGGGAGCCAACGAAGCGCAAAGTGGGAGGAGGCCTTGGAAGAGTGGCCCCCAAGGGCCGTGCTGGCCTTGCCCACCAGCGCCTCTCGCTTCCCGTTGCAGGGACCGACGGGGAGGACGTCCTCGGGGAGCTGGAGTACGAGAAGGTGCCCTACTCCTCTCTGCGGCGCACGCTTGACCAGCGGAGAGCCCTCGTCATGCAGCTCTTCCAGGACCACGGCTTCTTCCCGTCAGGTAAGGACGGAGGGAGGGGCATGGGGCCCCCGCTGGACACTTGGACAAAGGGTCAGTTCCTGTAGGCTTTGCCCTCCCCAGGACAGGGCTGTGTGGGGTGGGGGGTGGTGCCTCCCCTCCATCTCCCAGCGGCCAAGGGCCCCTCTTTCCATCCATCTGCCCACCCTCCCCTCTCTCACTGACCCCTCTGCTTGACCCCCTCCTCCCGCCCACAGCCCAGGCCACAGCCGCCTTCCAGGCCCGCTACTCGGACATCTTCCCCACCAAGGTCTGCCTCCAGCTCAAGATCCGGGAAGTGCGCCAGAAGATCATGCAGGCGGCCACCCCCACCGAGACGGTGCCCCCCACCACCCCGGAGCCCATCGGGGCCCCCGAAGGACCCCCTCTGGACACCCCCTCCCAGGAACCGGGGACCTCAGCAGTGGAGACCATGGCGGTGGCGGTGCTGGTAGCGGCATCATCCTCATCCTCGGGGGGCCCTTCCGCGGCCCCTGGCTCCAGCTGGGAAGGGGCCCCACAGGCCTCCCCCGGGCCCGGAAGTAGCGGCAGATGAGCGACAGGACTGCACAGAGGACAGGCAGAGGGGGAGGGGCTGCGAGGGTCCCGGAGCTCCACCCCCATTTCTGCCCCTTCCCAGCTGTGCTACAGAGGGCCCAGCACACCCTCCCGCGGACCTCCCCCCAACACCCAAGGACCCCAAGAGGCGGCGGCGGTTGAAATGGGGGCCAGCCACCCCAGGACATGCAGACCGGGATCCGCCCCGAAAGACCCCCCCCCCCCCCCAGAGGACCGCTTCTTTCAAGTCCCTCTCCTTTTAATAACGTTAAATATTTTGGGGTCCCGCATACGCATCTGCTTCTGTATCGAGACGTGGGGCGAGAGGGGGTCCATGGCCGGCCTGGCTCTGCGGGCGGCCCTTATGGAGGAGGAGGAGGAGGAGGTGGCGGCCCCTGGAGCGAGGGAGGCTCTTCTGCAAGGGGCCCCTGTTGCCTTGGCCGGTGGGCCCTCCGGGCAGAGAGAGAGAGACTTGGGGCTCAGCCGGCGGACTCTGGAGTCGGAGTGAGTGAGTGAGCGAGTGAGTGCGTGCCCTGGTGGCCAGAGCCACATGTTGACCATGTGTACCCCTCCCTCCTCCTCCTCCTCCTCAGCAGCAGCATCGGGGTGGCCCCGCCTCACCTGCTATTAAAGCTCTTTAACAACCCGCTCTGCTCCGGCCTGGCATTCTTCACCTGGATCCCCCCCCCCTCCTCTCCTGAGCGGACAGGTAGACGGAGGCTGGGGTCCAGATCCCCTTGAGCCCCAAAGGGATATCATGACCCTTAAGGCTTGGGAGGCGGGGCTCCCCCCCCCCACACACACACTCCGCTTGACATCACAGCCATATTGGGGATCGGGGTGGGGGTCTCCTTTGCCGAAGAGCAGCCCAGCGGGGCATCCTTGGGGCTCTGGAGTGTTCGTGCCTTGGCAACGGAAACCGAGAATCACAAGAGCATGTGGTATTGGGTGTGTTTACATTCCTCTCTGCCCTCGGGTGCCAACCCTATAAAGGCCTCGTTGATTAGGCCTTGGCATTGATTAGGACAGGGGTCCCCACACTTTTTAAACAGAGGGCCAGGTCACAGTCGCTCAAATTGTTGGAGACTTGGATTAGAATTTGAAAAAAGCATGAATTTGTATTGTCGAAGGCTTTCATGGCCGGAATCACTGGGTTGTTGTAGGTTTTTTCGGGCTATATGGCCATGTTCTAGAGGCATTCTCTCCTGACGTTTTGCCTTCATCTATGGCAGGGGTCCTCAAACTAAGGCCCGGGGGCCGGATACGGCCCTCCAAGGTCATTTACCCGGCCCTCGCTCAGGGTCAACCTAAGTCTGAAATGACCTGAAAGCACACAACAACGACAACAATCCTATCTCATCAGCCAAAAGCAGGCCCACACTTCCCATTGAGATACTAATAAGTTTATTTGTTTAAATTGTTCTTCATTTTAATTATTGTATTGTTTTAAAGTGATTTTTGCACTACAAATAAGATATGTGGTATGCATAGGAATTCATTCATGTTTTTTTTCAAATTATAATCCGGCCCTCCAACAGTTTGAGGAACTGTGACCTGGCCCTCTGTTTAAAAAGTTTGCTGGACGTTTCGCCTGCATCTATGGCAAGCATCCTCAGAGGTAGTGAGGTCTGTTGGAACTAGGAAAAGGGTTTATATATCTGTGGAATGACCAGGGTGGGACAAAGGGCTCTTGTCTGCTGGAGCTAGGTGTGAAATGCTAATCAAGGTAGTCAGTTGAGACATTCACACCTAGCTCCAGCAGACAAGAGTCCTTTGTCCCACCCTGGTCAGTCCACAGATATATAAACCCAATTTTCCTAGTTCCAACAGACCTCACTACCTCTGTTGATAGCCTGGCAGTGCCTGGAGCAATCTTTTGTTGAGAGGTGATTAGATGTCCTTGTTTGTTTTCTCTCTGTTGTTGTGCTGTTCTAATTTTAGAGTTTTTTTAATACTGGTAGCCAGATTTTGTTCATTTTCATGGTTTCCTCCTTTCTGTTGAAATTGTCCACATGCTTCTTGTGGATTTTAGTATACGCATGTGGACAATTTCAACAGAAAGGAAGAAACCATGAAAATGAACAAAATCTGGCTACCAGTATTAAAAAACTCTAAAATTACAACAGCAAAACAACAGAGAGGAACAATCAGGGACATCTAATCGCCTCTCAACAAAAGATTGCTCCAGGCACTGCCAGGCCATCAAATGCTAATCAAGGTGGTCAGTTGAAACATTCACACCTAGCTCCAGCAGACAAGAAGTCCTTTGTCCCACCCTGGTCATTCCACAGATATATAAACCCATTTTCCTACTTCCAACAGACCTCGCTACCTCTGAGGATGCTTGCCATAGATCAGTGATTCTCAACCTGGGGTCCCCAGATGTTTTTGGCCTCAACTCCCAGAAATCCTAACAGCTGGTAAACTGCGGGATTTCTGGGAGTTGTAGGCCAAAAACATCTGGGGACCCCAGGTTGAGAACCACTGCCATAGATGCAGGCGAAACATCAGGAGAGAATGCCTCTAGAACATGGCCATATAGCCCAAAAAAAACTACAACAACCCATGAATGAATTCCTACGCACACTGCACAGATCTTATTTGTAGTGCAAAAAACACTTAAAACAATACAATAATTAAAACGAAGGACAATCTTTACTAATATAAACATCAAAGGGGGGCTCCCTCACCCACCATCACGGCTTGCAACAAGGCTCCATCTTTGGGGGGGGGGGGGTTTGCGCTGAGAGAGGAAGGGGTGCCAATAGAAGGGAGCCCCCCTTTGATGACCACCTCCACCCCCCCCCCCCCAGTAAAAGAGACACCTGCTCGGGGTGCACAGGTTCACATACTGGCTTTATTAGATCATAAGAGTAGCTGGTCCCTTTCACCTTCTTGAACCCCTTTGACAACGGGGTGGGGGGGGAGGGTACTGGCTGGAGGGGGGCGCTTGGGGTCAAGAGGTCAGGGGTCGTGCCCCTCCCGCCCCAGGAGGAGGCTCCGCAGGAGGCGGTGGAGGCCGGGGCAGAGGCGCCCGTAGCCGAGGCGCGTCAGGTGCAGGTAGTCGTACATGTCGTGGTGGCTGATGGTCCCGTCCGAATGCACGAAGCCCGGGTCGGCGTCCAGGAAGAAGGCCCCCGGCAGGAGCGGCACCTTCTGGCTCAGTAGCTCGTTCACCCGCCGGTTCTTCTCCCTCAAAGGGTTGGGGTTCTTGCCCCGTGGAAGCAGGCCCTGCAAGTGGGGGAAGAGGGAGAGGAGGGGGGGGTCAGCCCACCAGCCCTCACCCCACCACCCACCCCTCCCTCCTTGTGCCCCCACTCACCAGGACCACCACCTTGGCCTGAGGCTGCTGCTGGCGCACCAGGCGCACAATGGCTTCAATGCCTCCGGCCACCTGCTCCGCTGTGTGGCCATGGTTGTTGGTGCCCACCCAGACCACCACGATCTGCAGCAGCGGGAGGGGGAGGGGGAAAGGAGAAGGGGGGCTGTCTGTCCATCCGTCAGAGGACAAACAGGCTGACCTCCCTTTGCAGCACCACCCACCTCCACCCACACATGCCCTGTTAAGGGGGAACCACCTGCCCCCCAAATAAATACCTTGGCCAGGGGGAGGGGTCATACCATAATGATATAATGAACCATAAAAATCATAAATACAACACAAATACAAATCTATATAAATAAAAATGTAATGTTCTGGGTTGTAGGTTTTTTCGGGCTATAGGCCATGTTCTAGAGGCATTCTCTCCTGACATTTTGCCTTCATCTATGGCAAGCATCCTCAGAGGTAGCTCACAACCCCTGAGGATGCTTGCCATAGATGCAGGCGAAACATCAGGAGAGAATGCCTCTAGAACATGGCCATATAGCCCAAAAAAACCTACAACAACCCAGTGATTCTGGCCATGAAATCCTTCGACAATACAATGTGATGTTCGTTTGTGGGATTAAGATAACTCAAAAACCACTGGACAAATTGACACCAAATTTGGACACAATACACCTATCAGGCCAACGAGTGACCATCACCCATAAAAACACTGAAAAACACAACAGAAGAGACTTAAAAAGCCAAAAACTACATTATAATGCATGTGCAAAACCAAACAGACACATATATACACATACAAAAAACAGATATACACAGAGTGGGGCACAGCAATGCACGGCAGGGGCCGGCTAGTAATATATAATAGCAAAATATATAAAAATGATAAAATATAATAAATAAATAAATAATAAAATAGTATATAATAATATTTTATCATGTTCATATATTTTGCTATTATATATTATTAGCTGGCCCCTGCCGTGCATTGCTGTGGCCCACTCTGTGTATATCTGTTTTTTGTATGTGTATATATGTGTGTGTGTGTGGTTTTGCATATGCATTATGTGCAAAACCACACATAAGCTGCTCCGAGTCCCAGGGGAGTGGCGGCATATAAGTTTAAATAAACTATCATGTAGTTTTTGGTTTTTTTTGGCTTTTAACGTGTGGAAACAATATAAAAATAATTTCTTCAACGCCATAAAAATAATTAAAATCTATAATAATGAAGTATTTAAAATAATAATCCAAATGTAGAATGAAAATATATGGAAATAAGATCTAGCTGAGGCTTGGGCAAGCTTGGCCCCTCCCTCCCTCTGTGTCTCTGGAGATGTTTTGGACTTCAACTCCCGGCATGCCTTGCTGGCTGGGGCGCCTTCCTTGTCCCCCTCCCTCCCTCCCTCCCTCCCTCTGTGTCTCTGGAGATGTTTTGGACTTCAACTCCCGGCATGCCTTGCTGGCTGGGGCGCCTTCCTTGTCCCCCTCCCTCCCTCCCTCCCTCCCTCTGTGTCTCTGGAGATGTTTTGGACTTCAACTCCCGGCATGCCTTGCTGGCTGGGGCGCCTTCCTTGTCCCCCTCCCTCCCTCCCTCCCTCCCTCTGTGTCTCTGGAGATGTTTTGGACTTCAACTCCCGGCATGCCTTGCGTCCTTGTCCCCCTGCCTGCCTGCCTGCCTACCTTGGGGCGAATGTGCTGGAGCTCCCCGGCCTGGAGGCGCCAGAGGACGTGCTGCGTGGCGTCGCCCCCGATCCCGAAGTTGAGCGCGTGCAAAGGGGAGAAGAGCTCGCGCCACACCTGGAAAGGGGGAGAGGGGTCAGGAGGGGGCCAGCAGGGGGCGGGGCCACACTAAGCCCCGCCCCCTCTCAGGGTGGCCCCGCCCCTCTCTTAAGGTGGCCCCGCCCCTCTCTTAAGGTGGCCCCGCCCCCTCTCATCCCTCCCCCTCCCCCCAGGCCCAGACCTGCCTCGCACTGGTGGAGCAGCTGGACCAGCGAGTCCCCCACGAAGACCACCTCGGGCTCCTTGTCCTTGCTGTCCGCGAGGAAGCGGTGGTGCTAAGGGAAGAAGAGGGAGGGTCAGTGGAGGACCGCACACGCCCCCATGCCCCCTCCCCATTGCCCCCCACCCCCCACCCTCTTTACCAGGGACATCCACCGCCCGTCCCCTTGCAGGTCCTCCGCCGGCGTGGCCACGCTGGCCGGGTTCTTGTCTCCGTCGCTCATCTTCCCGGGACAAGAACAAGGAGGAGGACCACAGGCAAGCAGGCCGCTCCTCCCCTCCTTTCAGAGGAGTCTCCGCCTCCCTTCCCCCCCCCCGCGAGGGAGAATGGTTCCGCCCACCCGCGCTGACTGCCAAGGCCGGGCGCCTCCACTTCTCAGGCAACGAGGGGGGAATATGATCAAGGAGGCCCCGCCCACCACTCTTCCTCCTCAGGGCTTCTCTCCCTCTCGCTTTCCTTCTCTCCCCCCCGCGAGGGAGAATGGTTCCGCCCACCCGCGCTGACTGCCAAGGCCGGGCGCCTCCACTTCTCAGGCAACGGGGGAGAATGTGCTCAAGGAAGCCCCGCCCACCCCTCTTCCTCCTCAGGGCTCCTCCCCCTCTCTCCCGCTCTCTTTCTTCCTCTCCCCCCCTGCAAGGTGGATGGTTCCGCCCACCCGCGCTGACTGCCAAGGCCGGGCGCCTCCACTTTTAAGGCAACGAGGGGGGGAATGTGGTCAAGAAGGCCCCGCCCACTCCTGGTAAGAGAAGGCGGCCCAAGCAAGCCTCTCCCTCCTTCCTTTCAGGGGTGTCTCCGCCTCCTGTCCCCCACTAGAGGGAAAATGGTTCCGCCCACCCGCGCTGACTGCCAGGGCCGGGCGCCTCCACTCTCAGGCAACGAGAGGGGGAATATGGGCAAGGAGGCCCCGCCCACTCCTCTTCCTCCTGAGGGCTCCTCCCTCTCTCTTCCAGAGGGGTCTCCGCCTGCTCTCCCCCACTAGAGGGAGAATGGTTCCGCCCACCCGCGCTGACTGCCAAGGCCGGGCGCCTCCACTCC